CCGGCGCCTGCCACCATTTTTAACGGCACCCTCAACATAAAAGGGTTAAACCGCCGTTTAGTCGATCTTCCCCTTCCAGAGATACAGGCACAGCTACTGTAGAACACCAAACTCCTGAACCACATATAAGGGAATGCTCCAAACTTCCGAACTGCATACAAAATAGCACTCCAAACTCCCAAACTGGAACCTCACGAATAGCTGCTAGCAGACGAATAGGAAAAGCACCCAAGCGGCTTACACTCCTAGCAATCCGTCTCTATCGGCATACAGTAAATCCCCCAAGAACGAGACAGAGCTCCGTGTTGAGGGTCAAGCAGTAGTCTGTTTAATGAGGGCTACCTGCCCAGTATTTATGCAGGTCTCCCACCTGGTGGACACTCCCCTAGGGGACCAAATGGGAGACTATAACCAAGGACAGACAAGCATCAATCTAGGGCACACAGTCACATTATATTCCCACAATGCATCCTGGCTTCCTCCCCTCTGCCCTGGAGATAATTGAGAAGTAATTCAATTATCTCCCAGGACAAAGGCAAATCGCCATTATGCACGTGGGGATATCAATATAGGAATTACTGTTAAAATCCCCCATGTTAGAAAAGTTACAATAAATATATACATTTAACATATCCCCAGATAGCTCAGGTCTGAGCGCACATTATTAAGCAAATGGCGCTCAGACCACACGAATACAGTTCAATCGCCATGGAGCCAAAGTCTTTAATTCCACGAACAGGCTCCATGACAGGCTATCTGGGTACTTTTACACCGAATACATCGCAACACTAAAAGTCCCGAATGCTCCGTTGTTCGGTTCCCGAACGGGTTTGCAGACCTCCAGCCTCAGCGGGGCTTGGAGGCTAAAGTGTCCGCTTTTGGTGTCCTGCCGCTAGGTAATACAAGCGCTAGCTACCCAGGGAGCTTCCATAACACCGCCATCGTGTGGCGGCTAGGTGTAACCGCGACCACCCAGTGATTGTCAATTAAGCTGCAGTTAACCGCAGCTTCTGGGGGGTAAATTGCCGACACACTCCAGCTCCCAGGCGGTCCAGTCATTTGTGCGGTTGTGCGGTACATAGAATTTACCGAACACCCTCGGAGAAAGGCACGAATAAGCCTTTCTGCAGGGGAAAATACAAGTTTTACCATGGGGCCATAGTCCAGAGGCAACAGGTGAGCAACCAGGCTTCTCCAATGCAATGTGGCGAGATTGCTCTCGTCACAATCACATTTTTGCCTCTTTCCATTTTAAACATGGATTCCTTTTAGTTTGTGTTTTCTGTATGCAACAGCTTTGAAACACAACTTAGGAAAAGATGCAAAGCCAGTAAACCACTCATGGACATCTGTTTCATTGTTAATGCAAATCATCAGCATGAGGTTAGTTACTGGTTTGCTTATTGATGCTTGGTAGTGCTTGGGAGGCAAAACCAAAAAGGTTATGGTAGGGAAACAATTTTTGGGGGCGGGAGGAAATATTTCTGTGCTTTTCAGTGCTGCAGTAGAGTGTTGCTATGGCGAGTTATTGTTACAAGGACCTGTTTAAATTTCCACAATGGTAATCGCTATGTGGTGATCGTCAGTTGCAGTACATGTTACTAGCAGAAGCCCACTAACAAAAAAAAAAATGAGAAGACTGTAAACTAATATCTACGGACTGATATTAAAGGACCACTATAGTGCCAGGAAAACATACTCGTTTTCCTGGCACTATAGTGCCTTGAGGGTGCCCCCACCCTCAGGGAACCGCTCCCACCCGGCTCTGGAAAGGGGAAAAGGGTTAAAACTTACCTTTTTCCAGCGCTGGGCGGGGAGCTCTCCTCCTCCGATCCGCCACGTCGGCTGAATGCGCTAGCGCGGCAAGAGCTGCGCGCGCATTCAGCCGGTCGCATAGGAAAGCATTATCAAGACCATTTCATTAAGCTGAAGTGGTCTGGGTGCCTAGAGTGGTCCTTTAATTACAACAGCTCATATCAAATATTTACTGGCAACATTGGAAACAGACCCTTAGTTTAATAAGAGATAGAAAATAACTTGCTGAACTATCTCTGTCATAAGAAATACAATTTCTACTAAGTACAGCTGCCAAGTACCAAATATGTTTCTAAAACAATGATATCAAGTTAAACTTATTTCCTTTCTACTGCACTTTCCATTGTTCCTGGTCTTTTGTTGTCAATTTCCAGTTATGTTTCTAGTCCCATGTGTGTTCCTAGTAGAAAACGACCATATCCCAGCCATTTTCCCATTCCAGAGCTTCTACATCCCTGCCTTGAACTAGGTTCCTACATTCCAAAATCCAGTCCTGAAATCAATCAGTGAATGCACCATGTTTGCCTGGCATTCTGCTCACTTGTCAAGTTCTATGCCTAGTTGTGAAATATTCCTTGTCCTGTGATTGAAATTTCTCCCCTTAAAGACGATTGTTTTCTGACCAAATTTCCATTTTCTAGGCAGTCTAGGTCTCATTGTGTGAATCATTTATACTATAGTCAAGCTAAGTCAGTACAGTTCAAGTCTAAAGTCAAGAATCATATTTAACTTAAAAAAACTTAAGATCTGTATGTTCACCCTCATTACATTTTTCTCATTTATGATTTTGACACTATCACTGAATACAGTTCTTGTGTCACTTCTAGTTCTTGTTCTTATCCCTGTGTCAAATCACATTTTATTTACCAAGTCAGTTTTAGCCCTATCCCATCCATTAGTTTTATCTGTAAAAGTAAAGCTCAGTTCGTCCCAGCATTCAAGGTTCTATCCAGAAGTCAAATAAGAATGTTACGGGAAGATCCTATCAACATATCTACATCTACTATGTGGAACTGCCCTAACAACAAATACCCTATGTTGATGTTAATCTTTTGTTAATGTAGATGTAAACAGAATTATGTAAAAATATATTGAGATCACTTAGTTGCTTAAAAATAGATAAGTTCTTTTGTGTACGAGGATATTTACTTAGAAAGATACCCAAGAACATAGTATGTACTAGGAACAGGAATATTTGCTTATAGTTTTACTTTTTGTTACTGCACAATTGCTGTTTTTCTTGATGTTTTAAAGAAATGCAAAACTGTAGGAACTTTTTTGGAAGCATTATTGGATCAAAAAAGCAAAACTGTGTCAAATGACAAAAGCATGAGATGTGGTAGTGGTTTAGTCAAAGGGAACTTAGTAATGAGGAATAGCTGAGAAAATAAGACTCGTTCTTGAAGGAACAGGAGATGTTGCAGTAACATGAATTAATGCCTCTCCTTTTTATATATAGCTCATAGAATTGATTAAACTTAGCTTTATTTTTATTGTCTCCTCCCTCCATTAAATTGATAAATCAACATCACAGAATCTTCAAAAATATTAGTTTTCTTTTCACATTACTTTATTGGAAAAGTAATTCACTCTGCTGTCCCAATATTTTGAAATACATAGTGTCAGAAAAAAGTGTCAGTGCTGAAAAATCTCCCTTAAGAATAATATAGAAAGCGATTAATTATTTTGAAGTGCAAAAATCTTTAAACCACATCAACAGTGATGGATGTAAAAGTATCAAGGTTTAATAACAATGTCTTAGATGTTGTTGCAAAATAAAGATTTACTTTATATGCACAGGTCAATATTCCTTAATGGATACTGCAAGCAGGGCGGATTAAAATAGTTTTATTTCACTTAGTTAAAAACCTGATAATACACCATAGCACACATAAAAATAGTGGTTTAAGAAATATTCAAATAGCCACTAAAACAAGTCCAGTACATGCAGATAAGCAGTGTGTAGGTAAATAAGTTTTACCACTGCGTCAGAGCAGCTGGATAAGTCCAAAATCTTTTCCACAAGCCGCAGTATTAGAATCCGTAACAGAGGGATGCTGTAACTTTACACCGCTGAGAAATTCTGCTGGTACCGGTAAAAGATCGTGAATGGAGGCTTCTCAGTTCATCTACGCGTTTCGCCCGTGCTCGGCAGGCTTTGTTCTTGTAACGCTTACAAATTAATTTAAGTAAATATTACTTAAAAGAATGATGATGCCATAATTCTAAAAAGATTTTCAAACCATATTGTGCCCAGTATTTCATTTTGCTTTCCAAAAAAAAAAATAACAACACATAAATATACATATTTTAATTTATTGCTCTTTCTTTTTTTACGTTAGGAGAAGCATTCAAGCACAATCCTTAGTCTTACTGAATCTGTTCTAAGAACAAATAAAAGACTAGCAAACATTAACACCTCTTTTTTTAGAACATCAAACGATGTTCAAAGGAGGAAAAAAACATGCACAAGGACATTTAATTATAGGACTCTAGGAAATCGTTCTACTTTTCTCCCTCTCATCTTTCTTTTGTTTTTTATTTTTTTTATTTTTTAATCTGACTGTATAAATGAAAAGAAGAGAATATATTAACATCTTATAGTAAGATAAGAAGCAAATTTAATATTCATTCCCGTGACATTCCCCAAACCACACAGAACACACATTTATATATGATCCAAAAGATTTTTATCTTAATTAAACTATGATTCCACCAGTGAAGAATTTGTACTTTTCTGTGTGTGAACGCACTACAAGTGAGGAAATTGAACAAATCCGTTAAAATAAAATAACATCTTGCAACAGTCATCATTGCTTTTTTCATTTTTTAAAAATGTTTAGAGTCAGCTTTCAGAAAAATGATCTGCAATAGATAAAAATATTAATCTAATTGTCTGCATTAAGTAAGCACATATGGAAGATTGTACGTTTACTGTAGAATATACTTTTAATGAAAGTTTCATACTTTGACTTCCATTTGTAACTAGTAGGAGTTTAATAAAATAAGTCTTCATTTGGCTGATGGTGCAGCAGCTCTGATGTTCTATTAAAATTGCCTGCCAATGGGGGGGCGTGGCTACCGGTGGAGCAAGATGGACGTGTAATTCTTAGCTCCTGCACATGGGCTCCAACAAAGACGTCTCAGCACCCTAAACAGACGACCCAGACACGCAGAAAACAACTATGTTGCAACCTAAACAAAAAAGACAAGCCACCAAAGCCGAAAAACAAAATCTTTTTGGACAAAATGCAGCGCCGACCAGACACACAATCCAGCCGCACCAACAAGATGGCGGGGAGGAAACACATGACGGCAACCCCTTCACTGACCTTGCCGACCAGACAATGGAGGAGCCGGTCACTAAACAGTTCCTTCTGGAACAACTAGGAGCATTCTCCAGCAAAATGATGGCGGGCTGGGAGGCGGGCCTGTCAAGCCTGAAAAAGGATATCAGAGAGCTGGGAGCGAGAACCTCCCGCATGGAGGAGAGAATGGAGGAAACTCAAGAAGCACACAACCACCTAATAGACCAAGTAAACACATTGCAAGCGACTATATCCACAATGGAGAACAAACTCATGGATATTGAAGATAGGGCGAGGAGAAATAATTTACGACTGCAAGGCATACCGGAAACGGACTGCGGACCTCCAGGCCTACTTGCACGAATTCTTCCGTGTGCTCTCACCGGACACGCCGTCGGCTATGCTACTCCTGGACAGGGTACACAGGATACCCAAACCTCAACACCTACCACCCTCTGTTCCCAGGGATGTAATCCTGTGTGCTCATTACCACCATATTAAAGAAATAATACTGAAACAGAGCAGAAACAATAAGAACATACCTAGCAAATATGCTGACATAAAGATATTCCCGGACTTATCAGCCGCAACGCTGAGAAGGAGAAAATCCTTCCAACCCATCACCACCATCCTCAGGCAGCACCAAATAGCCTACCGATGGGGTTACCCCCTCAAGCTTCTCATCTCCAAAGAAGGCACGACGAAGATACTGAACTCACCGGAAGATGGAGAAAAGCTCCTCAGGGAATGGAATCTACCCACACCAAGCACACCGACAAGAGAAACAGCCGGGCTGCATCGAGAATGGCGAAAAGCATAGTAACCATAGACTTATACCAGCCAATCTGAACTGCTAATATGATATAACACGTAGAGGCTGGTAATGTATATAGAGAACCAAATGTTTATGTTTTTTGTTAACTTTGATGTACCTCAACCCGCATAATTTACCTGCACAGACAACACATACAAGCACGCCAATGAACACCTGAACCCCGAAATGCCAAAGATTATGCCCCACTCAGTTTAGATCTATTTCCCTTCTAACCACACCTAAGACAAGAGGGTTATGAATAACCTATTAACCCTAGCAAGCTGGAGCTGACGCGGAGCTATTACGCAGGAGCAAAACTAGACACACCACATTCAGATTGACTATCTAATATTGTAAAGCTGAAAAGTCCAGAGGAGGAAAAAATTAATAAAAATAAAATAAAATTATTTTAATAATACTGTTAATATACCACTATATATTATAGATAGGCAACGCACAAAGCCAGAGTACAGGCACGCACACGACGACTAGGTTGCCCCGTAATGTAAACGCAGCACAGACAAGTCAGCATATGCAGAACAAGGAGCAGTAGCTGCTCTTAACATAACACTGTAACGAGTAACGAGGTACTATAAAATGGAACTGAAGATAATGTATGCTCACACTCTCTCCCACTTCAGCTCTAGCATCGCGGTACAGCACCAAACACTCTAATCAGGCGACCACCAGCAGAACATACCTACATCACCCAGAGCATATTAGACAAACACAAAAAAGGGACACTAGCCTGGCATTCTTTTCGGGGGACATGACATGACTTAAATAATGAAGGAGCCCAGGTAGCCTCCTTCGTGAGCAGAACACACAAGCTCACCACACCCCAGGTACTACCAAGGAGTACCAAGCCCCACATCTGGGCACTGTTGTACATAGTTGAGTTCTCAACGAGACTCATGTTTCCACCCCACCAACCCCTAACCCCAGTTGCAAACCACAAGAACAATTACGGACCCACTCTACCCAAAACTACGCAAACTAAGCAAACAGCCTGCTCATCAACCATCACCAAGTACACAGCACGGCTGGCACACCAAGGCAAGCTCTCACTAAACCTTAGACTATACTGCCCACCAACAGACGATAAATTCAAACTACACCAATCCCATAATGAAAATATACTCTCATAATGTTCGGGGACTAAATTCCCCCCAAAAACGCCAAATATTGCGCACAGAACTGAAAAACCATAACGCGGATGTGATCTGCCTTCAAGAAACTCACTTCAAAAGACAGAAATCACCATCTATAGACCTCAAACAATTCCCAAACCAATACCATTCTACACATAGCCACAAATCGAGAGGAGTCAGCATTCTAATACACAAATCAGTTGCATTCGAACCACTCAGAATAGTCAAAGACACCAATGGGAGATACCTTATACTAATATGTAACCTCAATGATGTCACATACACCATAGTCAATATGTACGCACCAAACGACAATCAATGGCATTTCCTACAAAAGATACTGACTAAAGTGAGCAACATACAACAAGGCATATTAATATACTGTGGGGACCTGAATCATATCCTAGACCCCGAAATGGACACTACACTAGACGCAAAAAAAAACAGATTGACATCTCTCAGGCCGGCCTGCACCAGACTTAACAAACTGCTAATTCAATTTAACTTATATGATGTGTGGCGCACACTGCACCCTGGAGATAAGGACTACACTTATTACTCCCAAGTGCCCAAGACCCACTCCAGGATAGATCATTTTTTCGTGACCAGCACAGGACTACCACAAACGCATCAATGTACACACGGCGACATAACATGGTCTGACCATGCCCCAGTGATACTGACACTCACTGACGCATTCACGTACAAAGGCAAGGGCTCATGGAGACTGAACAACTCACTGCTCCATGACCAAGAATTCACTCTCACACTAGAACAAGAACTTAAACATTACTTTACTACTAACGAGGACCCCCAGATCAAGGCCCCGATCCTATGGCAAGCACACAAACCAGTTATACGGGGACTAATGATCCGCAGAACATCATTTCTCAATAAGCAAAAGCGAGCAACACTTATGAAACTGCTCATACAGCTAAGAGATACCACCCAAACTTACTACCAAACAAAACAACAGGATCTCCTGACGGAAATCCAAACCATAACCACCAAAATGAATGAACACCAATTCCAAAAAATGGCATACACTCTGAAAAAATTTAAGATGAACCACTATGCGAAAGGGAACAAAGCTAGCAAACTATTGGCCAACATGCTACGCAAAAAGCAATCTAATGCTAAGATCCCATACATTCTCACAAAAGATAACCATAAACTCTGGAATCCACAAGACATGAATAAGGAACTAGTGACCTTTTATAGCACCCTCTATAATTTAAGGGAAGACAAAACCCTATACCAACCAACCGTTTCAGACATTGAGGGGTCCCTACAGCGGATACCACTACCAACCCTGACAAACGAACAAAAAAACAAACTGTCTGAACAAATTTCGACAACATAAATGAAAGACGCTATCGCCAGACTACCTACAGGGAAATCCCCAGGCCCGGACGGATTCACAAACCAATATTACAAGACCTTTGCACCTATACTCATTCCTCACATGAGACAAACATTTCAGTACATAATTCATACAGGGACAATCCCACAGGAAATGCTTACAGCCCATGTGGCCACATTGCCCAAACCGGGGAAAATACCAGACAAAGGACAGAACCTACGCCCAATTTCACTTCTCAACACAGGCGTTAAATTACTGGCGAAAATATACTCTTATAGATTAGCCACCATACTTCCAGATCTAGTGCATGAAGACCAGGTCGGCTTTGTAAAAGGAAGGCAGGGCACGGACGGCACCAGGAAGGTTTTAGATATACTATACAGCTTACACAAACGAAAAACGGGATGCCTATTCATGTAACTAGATGCCGAAAAGGCTTTCGATAGGCTGAACTGGGACTTTCTCAGAGCGACCTTAGCGAAATTCGAATTCCCGTCAGCGTTCATGAACACTCTACAGGCACTTTATAGTAACCCCACCGCCAGAATCACCAACGCAGGATTCCTCTCAGACCCGTTCAGAATCACGAACGGAACCAGACAGGGATGCCCCCTCTCACCCCTGTTATATGTCCTAGCGCTACAACCCCTTACGACCCTCATTAGACAACAACCATCGATCCTGGGCGTCAAAACAAAAAGCAAAGAACATAAACTCACACTATTCGCAGACGACATACTATTGACGATACAAGACCCAGAACCCCCTCTACCACACTTCCACTCCATACTATAAAACTACAGTAAAATGTCCTACTACAAACTGAATATATCCAAGATGTAAGTCCTGTGCAAAGGACTCCCTCCAGACGTTACCCATAGACTAAAGAACACCTACACATACGATTGGAGAACCGACTACATCACATTCCTAGGTATACGCTTCACAAAATCACATACCGCACTATTTAACGCCAACTACAGCAAGCTAAGTATAGAAATAAAAAAACAGCTACAAGATTGGAAAACATCATTCATATCTTGGTCAGGCCGCATAGCAGCAGTCAACATGATAATCCTCCCCAAGTTATTATATCTATTCAGATCCCTAATGATTCATATACCCTCCACTTATTTTACCACAATCCAACGCTGGGTAACCAGATTCGTATGGAATGACAAAAGAGCACGTATAGCCCTAAAGGTATTGCAACTGCCATTCAAAGAAGGGGGCATGAAAATGCCAAATCTCAAACAGTATTACCATGCAACCATACTAAGCAGCATCATCCAAGCAAGACCAGGTACACACGCACCACAATGGAAGCACCTAGAAACAGAATGGGCCGATAATGCTAGCACTGACAATTTAGTGTGGATACCAAAACATAAACGGCCGCAATTGCAAGACTGCCTACCGACCACAACATTATCCCTAAAATGGGGCCCGAACTACCCTAACAAATGATTCACTCATCTCCAAAGCCATCTCCAAAGCCATGCCACTTAAGTCATTAGCGCATATTATCCCGGATTTTAACTACAGAATATGGGAAAGACATGGCATAAAATTCCTACACCAGATAATCACTATCACGGGTCTAACAACCTTTGCCACATTACAAGGCTCCCACAAGTTACCAATAGTAGCACATTATTCATATCGCCAATTAGGCTCATGGCTACGCACACAATTTCATGAGAAAGCAATTAACATTAAGGCACAAAAGATGACGGTATTCGAGGAAATGTACACCAGCTCCACACCACCCCAGAACATCATATCCTCTATCTACACAACACTACCCACAAAATGCACACTGCACGAACACAACTTTATCAACGCATGGGAAAAAGAGATCCACAAAACATTCACTGAACCAGAATGGGAACGCATGATCTTAACCCCCAAAACTTTCTCTTTATGCTCAAAACATATAGAGTTCGCCAAAAAACTCTTATATAGATGGTATCTCACGCCCACAAGGCTACACAAATTTAACCAAGCTCTCCCAATACACTGTTGGAGATGCAAATCAGGCACAGGGACAATGGCACACATATGGTGGACTTGCTCACGCCTACAACAATACTGGAAAGAAATAACCAAACTTATCAAAGACAGCACAGGGCGCACCTTACCACATAATTTGGAACACTACGTGCTCTTCGAC